TAACTAATAATAATATATATATATATATATATATATATATATATATATATATATATATATACTTGAAATATACATTTATAGTCACAATACATACCTTCATTGATTCTAATATTTCTGCACACTCTTTTCTTAATTGTCTTGAACTTTCATTATCCATAGCTATACTTACACCTTTTCTACTATCCCCACATCTGATTGACATTCTTGCAATTCCAGCAAGACATAGATTTCGATGATGAGGATTATATATAGTTGTATTATATATATTATTTAAATTTACCAATCCACGTTCGTAATTTGTTAATGCTTTTGGATAATTACCCCTAAAAACATTTATATATTTCTTATCTATGTGTAATAAAATAATAAAAAAGAAAATGAATATAGAAATTAATATTCAACTTTAAATACTAAACACAAGTAATTTATAAATTTTATGTTCTTACATAAACTCTAATTGTTGAGCATATTCTCTAGCAATATATGGAATTTCATCAGCTTTCAATTTTTGAGCTAAATTTAATGCCTGCTCCCATTGCATTAAGTCTCTTCTCAAATATAAGGCTTGAACTGGTTCTGATGATTGTAAAAAAAATTGCTCTGCCTGATTGTAATTACCAAGTAAGATGCATGCATGTCCACATAATAATGGTAATTCATCTATAGTTTCCATGTTTTGTAATGCCCAAACCATTGCAACTTCTTCTAAATAACGATAAATTCGAAGTGCTGTGATAGAAATAATATGTATATAATTTATATATATTTCTTATTTATATGTATAATGATTTCGAAATATAATAATAATGACAAAAAGAAAACGAATACCGAAATCAATATTTAAATTTGCAATTGCATTTTCTCCTAATTTTAACCATGATTCTTTTTCGTTGATTTTTTCACATGTAATCCATGCCTGCTCAAATCTGAAATACAAAGAATTATAAATAATAATAGAATAAATAGAATCATAAAATCATAGAATAGAATAATAGAAATAGAATAAATATCTTATATTTAAAATAGATAAAAATGTAATGTTTTGTACCTTCTACAAAGAATTTGATTTTCTAATATTTCTTTCATTTTTGTATATTCTACAATATTTCCTATATCTTCATGAGAAGATAATGTAATCTGCATTAACTTATTACTTGTTGAACTTAATGTCAATTCTCCAGAGTACATCAATAGCGGTAATGTTTCAGATGGTAGTTTTGTTGAGTTTATCTTTATAATTTTTATACCTATTTTCAAAAAATATATATTTGTATTTATTATATATTGTATATATTATATGATTTTCAAATTTCAATTTACCTTCAATAAAATATTTTACAAATATATATGTAGTAACGACAGTTTTATTGTAAATAGCAAATATATTACGTTCCAAAATATTTTGATCCCAAATTAGACCTTGAATGCAGTCTAGACAATCAAGAATTTGTAAAACAGTTTCTTGCACAGGATTATAAATATAAACATCAAACTTATTATCTAAAAAACACAATTGTGTTCCATTTGTATCTAAATAAATTTCTTTTATACCATTATTGTGTATATGTTCAGTAGACTGATTAAAAATCTCTAGACAAAAATAAATTATATGGCCCATCTAAATATATCATAAATACAAGTTAATTTCAACATTGTTTATTTAGAACTTTATACATTTATATAAATAACTTACATCACTACCATAGATTAAAAAATCAGTACTGAGGGCATGGCACGTTATTTTGTAATCTGAAGCATTTAAACCTGGGAACATTTTTGTATCTTTCCCTTCTTTTGTTAATGTTTGATCTATTTTAATCTACAAGAATAATATATTAATATACACATGTAGTTAATTTATTAATATATTATAATAATAATTTGTATGTGTTTTAATATACTTGTTACCGAATGCAATTGTAATTTGCCATCAATAAAACAGATGCATAAGTCTCATTCAATCGTATACAATCTATTGTTGCTAAGTAATCTCTTTCAAAGTGGATTGTAGTATTATAATTGATGCCTGATATGTCCCAGAATAATGCTCTATTATTTAATCCCACTGCTACATGCATAGGACCAATTGCTAATACTGATGGTTCTATTATGGTATTAATTATTATTGGTTCTGATTTCTCCTAAAAAATAATTTTAAATATTTGAATATAATTTTATAAATATAAATTTTTAATTTTTATACATCTACCTTATCCAATGTATAAAGATAAATTGTAACTTCTGTTAAACTAGTAAGTAATGCAATTCTATTTCCATAAACGCTAAATAATTTAGGAATCTGTATTAAATAACTAAAATATTTCCACTATAAGTTACAGTTGCTATCATTGTGCCATCCATTGACCATTCTATTGTACTAATACCGGTTTCACCATTTATTGTAATCAATTTTTCAGTCTCTTCTAAATTTTGTAAATTATGTATTTTTATATTATTATCTCCACATGTAGCAATTTTTCCTATTACTTGACTTATAGCCAGGTCAGTTAAGGAATCTTTATGATTCTTAACTTGAAATAATTCCTGACCAACTTCTTTAATGTGAGTGGATATTGCAGTGAAATATCCAGTTTGAAAACCAACTAAAATATATCCATCCCCATACCTGTAATACAATATTTGGAATAAAAAAAGATAATTGAATTTAAATAATTTCTTAAATCTTACCATTTATAAGTAACAATAGGACCATAACGTTTTTGAAAAGCTAATTCAATAGGATTTTCTGGATCCAAAATATTATATAAAAATAAAGTAGTTTTACTAATAATAAGAGATACCTAAGAGCAAACAATAACAAAATAAATACACATATAAACACACAAGTATATGATAGTATTTTTATACTAAATTATATTTATATATATACTAAATATATTTATATACTATTATTAATTTATCTAAAGAAATCATACTGTATTTTCACCCCCAACTCTATGATCCATTTTCATTTCATTAAATTGAATATCAGATGCATCTCCTTGAAGAGGTATTTCACGTCTTGTATCTCCATCACTAGTACTAATAGTTAAAATCTTATCTTCACTGACCAATGCAAGAAGACCCTCATAAGACCAAGCACCACATGTTATCTTTTTTTTGTGTTTTCCCAAAATTGGTATTCGTCTACATATTAATTCATCATTTAATATATATAAGTATATAATATAATAATGTATGTAGGAATATTCCACATAAAGAAACAAAATAACATACTTTGAATTAATATGATCATAAAGTATTAAATTTCCTTTCTGTGTTCCTACTGCTAATAAACAAGTTCTTTTTGCCCATATCATACATGTTAATCCATCTCTTACACCAGCATCAATTTGTGTTTTTTTTCCAGTTGTTGCATCCCATAATATAATAGCAGATGAATTTTGAGATATAATAGCCAATAGATCTCCATCGGAATCCCACCAAAACCAGTACAAAGACCAGCAATTTGAATACGTTCTTGTAAATCACCTTGTCTATCAAAAATAGCAACTGAGGAATCATAACCAGTAGTTGCTAAATGAGTACTATTACCAGGGCGCCATGAAATATAGACAGTACCAGAACCATGAGGTTGATATAACTGATAAAGAACCTGTATCAAAATATTTGACAAGTATAGCTATGAATAAAATAAATAGTGATAAATGTATTTTGAATAAAGATAAACATCTTCTTTATCATAATCTTTAAATATTTTTTATTATAATTAAAATTTTAAATGCTATAATTCAATAAGTAAAAAAATTGTAGTTTTCATAATAATAAATATATAATAATAAATATATTAACCTACCTTCTCAGTCGACATTTTTGAAATTAAATAGTTTAGCGTTATAATCAAGAAAGCTAAACAGGCTAATTGTTCAATAATATGTATATAAGAACAGTTTGATGCCGCATAGTTAAAAGATTAATTTATTAAATGATATATTTTACATGTAACTTTATATTTCTTTTATTCGCCATGTTGTTTATATTTCGGTAAGCTTGATCAATTTAAAGTTATGTTAATTGTGTACACAATTGTTGCCATGGATATCAATAAGTATCGCGTTAGTAGTAGTATCGCATTTTATAATTAATTTATTTAGTTATTCTTTTTTCTTTAAGCAAAGAAGTGTGCGGTATTTTATTACTATTTTTTTTATATATACAATTATAAATAAATTAGAAATAAAATTAACAAATAAAGTAATAAATGTAATAAATGTATAAAGTGAGGTTAATTAAAGTATGCCATTATTATTTGAACATGATCGATTATTATTTATCATCAAAAAATTGCACGTATTTTGCAACTCGTAATACAATATAGTACAAAGATATGAATTTGCAAGATGATAAGTAAGGTTAAGAAAAAGTAAATGGACCAAACGTGGATGAATGATTAAAATAAGTATGTGCAAAAAAAAAAGATGATTTAAAATTGAATTTAAATTGCGTTCTTTCATGTCTAAAATGACAAAATATTTTGTAAACAAATGTATATACATGTTTTTGGATATTAAATGTATATACACATCAGGTATGTATATAATTACATTAATATTTTATCGGTAATATTCATCAAAACATTGTACTGATGATGATTATGTCGAAAGATTAAAATTTTAAATTTATCATCTTTAATAAATAAATTGAAACTGTTGTAATATATTCGTTGTATCTGGATAACAAATGTTTATTCAGCTATCCAGATTTATAAATTCATTTTTAGTTTTTTTCAATAATTTTTAAAATGTTTATATTTTGTCATCATTAATAGTGAGCTCATAGTGTCTTTGTTTAGGAAGAAATAATTATACAAGTATTGCTACGCGTAATTTTTGTTTCGAAATAAGCTATGAAACATTATATCATCTTACGCAACGAGATAAAAGTTGTTTAGTAACAAATTCTAGGGATACAGATAAACGGGTATTATTTATATCTTTTGAATAATTTTGCGCGAACTTGAAGCATTTTAAAGTGTAGAGTAATCATATTATTCAAATAGTTTAGATAAAGCGACGAAAACAAATAGATTCAAAAATAGAACGTTACGAAGAGTTGATGTGATATATAAATGTTTGTCATGAAATGGATGTTAATTCTTTCATAAATTTTAATGTATTACACATATTAGATTTGGCAAGAATGTTATAACTATTGGATAATAATTTTTTCAAATTTTAAACAGTTTAATTTTTAAAAACATTATTCTACTGAATTTGTTTTTTTTTTTTTGATTTCGAAAAATCATGAAATGTTTCTGAAATGATTTTGAACGATTATGAAATGTATGTAACCTCGATGAATGTTGTAAAAATAAGTCATGAATAATTTTTGGATAATTGTATATTTGCAAACAGTAGCATTTTAAACATAAAACATATTCAGCAGAATTATGTTTTTTTAAACGATTAATTCAAAACTATATATGAACTTTGGAAAGTATAAGATTCAACATACAAGATGTACCATTTTTGCATGACACAGTATATATCTTTTAATTTTTGTATTTCCTTTTAACAAAGTTTGCGTGCACGAAAAAATTAGTGTAATCGGCAATGCTATTTGCTTAAGATCGCAAACAAAGATAAAATTGTATTCTTGAAACGTTTTATTATTACACGAGCCATTGTAATGCGTACAATATTGCTTTACTGACCCGAATCAACCAGTCGATCAATCAGTTTTTGAAACGATACACGCGCTTCAGCGATCTTTCGTTTTTATCGATCGAAAACAAACAATAAAATATTTAAGGAACATTTAATACTTATCTTTAATATGATTTTCTTCGACTCAAAACTGTTTCATTCATGCTTCAACAAGCATGCATTGACTTAACGTCATACTTCACTGTTTGTATATGAATATGATTTAACTTGAAAAGGCATAAAAACAATAATTAGGAAGGACGTTGCTTTCATAGATATCGCTTAAATCTATCGCGGTGATCATAAAAGTGATGATAATAATCGTTCCATCGTTATAGATATTTAATACGTAGCAATGTTGTTCGGTATATATATATACACTATGTAGCAGTGTCGCCGAGAGACGCGAGATTTTTTTCTTTATTTCTTTCCTTATTGCCGATTGATTGATATTATATTACTATATACAGGATAAATCAATGCAGGTTGTTCGATTAGAGAAGATGAATTAATTTTTGATTTTCTTCATTAAGAAATTGTTCAATCAAGGAACATTGTATTTTCTTCTTTTATGAATAAATACAATAGATATTATTTTTACCGAAGGAAATATATATATCATAACGTATTACATCTCGCGACTCTTAGGAGCCTGATTCAAATGGAAGGAATACGATCTATCTTACAAGCTGAATAATGTTGGTGCGTTAACGTAGTACAGTGCGCCTCTATTAACGCGATTACGAGCTTAGAGATAAATTCATACTCGTCGTAATGCTATTACTCGTTATTACAAACTAGAAACAATTTCTAATGACTTTGTGAGTAGAATTTTTTAATTAGGCTCTTGAGCAGTCTAAACACGAGAGAAACAAAATGAACTCAATTTTCGCGCGCGCGCGTTTTACTTTACTAATTAACCCATTAATTCGGCACCTTCGATTATTTTTTTTTTTTTTGCATCGATGCCCTCGAGTTATGTTATCTCCGTTATATATACATAAAAAAAAAAAAAAAAAAGAAAAAATTTCGATTAGCAGCACCGATTCATGTCTTAACACGA